TTACTACTTATGTCAGCGCAAACGCTGCCAAGAACGATGCTGTGACACATTATCTGTAGATTACTAGGAATTACGAGGAACACAATTCGCAGATTTCCAGGGGCTACAGAAAGTCAGCGAGTACATCCAAGTTCCCTGTGCGTAAGACCGGAATGCACGGCAGGAGTTCAGAAATCCAGAAGTTACACTTCATGAGCAAGATCAGAAGGTCTCATTTCGTCCAGCGCAAACACTCAATAGAAAAGAAAGCAAAAGCAAAGCGTGGTGCCACGTGCCGTCGAATAATGCCTCTGTAAGCAGCCACAATTCTTCAAAAGGAAAATTCGTTGAGTATAAAGTAATTGAAATGCCATCCAAATGGGACAGTATGCGAAATCTTTAGGCCGAATAATCAACAGAGGTTTTTTTCGTAGAGTTTCGTTTTCTGCCATCCCTGGACCGGACTGGTACGATGCAGGGTGTCCTGCCCTTCGACCATCTTAGTGATTGGGCACCTCAATAAATTTTCTAAGCCATCAAGTTTTAACGTAAAACATTTTCCTCCACTGTAGAAACATATCTGGGGGTTCTGGTTGCTGGCTCACCTGGCGCACAACATTCCCTCGGGCAGCAGCGCCCCACAATTGACACCAGGGTCACCTGGGGTGGTGGAAAAGCTCACGGCAATTTTAGCAGCAGGGACACTGGCGTCACTTGGAACACTTCTTACTTATGCTGCTTGTCGCTTATTTTTATTGTTTTCCCCCTTTGTCCCTACCGTGTCCCAACACCACTGCAAAATTTCAAGTACTGCAGAAATGGAATTGCTTCCTTCTTTGTCACGTTTGGCTTCAGTGTTCCTTCTTTTCCCTCGGCCGCTTTTTTCAAGTGCTTCTCAAACCTCATTGTCCGAGTTTACAGGCGCTTTCCCAGATGTTCATGCTGTGACAGCTGCTGCTGCATCAAACAAATCAAACACGCAGCCTACAGCACCAACAGCAGGCTGCTCCGCCCCTCCCTGTGTCAGTGATATCACAAGCGCAGTGGCATTAGAGCTGGAGGTCCCCTTAGCTCAGGAGGAGAACACATTAGGCAGGCGTTTTCCTGTCAAGGTAGAAGAAGCTGATAAGCCCGCTTCACATTCACAGCAAAGGCTAAAGACAGCAATCGAAACCCTCCTGTCTAGCCTAGAAGGTAAGCAACATATAATTTTGCTCCACTTGAACGTGCTTAATGTGGTCCAAACGCGACCGTTTGTGGCCGTCATAGCAACTCAAATGAGGATGGCGTTTGGAGGGGAATGAAGCTGCAGAATCAAACAGCAGTGCCTGCTCACAAGCTTCAATTTACTTGGCTTCTCTTCTGGACTTTCTTCCGTGCCTTCTGCCATGGCAATCTTTCCCTTTCCATTTATCTGTGTCAGCCTCTACATCACTGTATGCTTGTCATTTGTCTGTGGCGTTGTTTCAATGAAGCAGGTACAGAGTAGCTGTTGTCTGAATTTGCTCTTTTTGCCTCAGCCAAAGTGAAGCAACTCCGTACTCAACTGCCGCTTCACTACGACGAGCAAAAGTTTAGAGAGCTAGGTGAGCCTCAGACAAGCAAAAAGGCTGGCACTTTCGAATTTACACTAACTGATTGATCCCCAAGAGACGCTGCACTATTGTCCTTCAGTTTTCGTACCTGTGTTGGTATGCGTGCATTAGAGAATGAGGCAGCTGCAGCTGTAGGGGCGGCAGCAGCAGCCCTTCCAAACTAGAGTTGTGTCGCTGCTTCTCAAAGTGAATATATTTGAATGTGAATTCATTTTTTTCCTCAGGCTGCATCGCGGTGGCGTCCCCCTCCCTACGCGCCTTTAACGGTGTGGTAGGCCTCTTTCCTTCCGCGTTTTTGGCACGTTTGTCGGTTTCTCTGTCGCCCGTCGAGTCTGCCTTCGGCCGTGCATGCAACGGAAGCATTACCCCGTTGGCCTTAAACCTGCATAATTACAGGAATCCAGCTATAGCTCCAACGGGCTGCTTCAATCTCACAGGTCAGTGCAACAGCCGCGCCGTGGGCGGAATCTACACACCCGCGCCCACAGCATCTCCCACCTTCTACGAGCTCAATAAGAGCAATTCTGCTGCTGATCCACAAGCAGCAGTGCAGCGAAGTGACTGCGGCGGCCCCTGTTTTACCCCCGGACAGTACGTTGCACTGACATGACTGAGGTTGTGTGCATTTTTCCTCTTCTAGGCTGCCTCATAAGGATCGCAGAATCTGTCAGTTGCAGTTATTCTCTTCTTATATCTCGAAAATGTGCTACTGATGATCTTTGTCTTTTTCTCTTTCAGCCCTTTGTGTGTCTGACTCATGCTGGTTGTAGCTGCCTTGAGCATTTGCCCCCACTGGCGCCCGTTTTCTTTCTGCGCCGCGTCTGATGTCTTTTCACGTGTGCGTGGGCTCTTTTTCCATCCGTTTGTGTCTGGCTGCGCCTCTGCCTTTGTCGCAGGGGTGTGCCTGTGCCGTTGCAAGGCTGCAACCCCAGCACCTACAGGCTGCGGCCTTTTACGTGTCGGCCTGGTCACTTTGTCGGTAAATTTGGGCTGCCGAATGATGTAGCGTCTTCGGCTGTTTTCGCTGATTTGAGAGTTATTGCACTCGACAGACATTCCGAGAGTCCTTGCGTCGTAGGCGAGGCAAACCTGCCTCTTGTCCTGTCCTGCTCCGCCACATGTACGACCGGCCGCAATCCCCTAGCCCTAATATGTAGACCAACTCTTGGCCCTAAGCTCTAACGCCGAAGAAATCAGCATGCATCCTCTGCTAACACCCTTTAAAAGAAATGATGAGTGCGAAGCTCTCAAGCCTGAAATATAAAACATTTCGCCCAAAGGATTCGTGCTGTGAGCGCCTGCTGGCATGGCAGCTGTCTGACGGTATGCCCTACACAGTGTAGGTCATAGCATTTTTACTGTATGTGCAGGCGCAGCCCTGGCTTGTGTGCCTTTCCGCCGCTTGGAGACCTTACAGCAATCTACCGTGTTGGACAGTTTGGATTTGCTGTTGGGAGCAGCAGCAGCAGCAGCAACCGTCACAAATACTAACGAGCAGATGCAGGCTCTTCTTAGCATTATCAGTGAACTTGAAATACGAATCAACTTCCTCTTCTGTGGCCGCTAACACCCGCACGGCGCGGCGCGTGCTGAGCAGCAAGAGTGCCTCTGGTAAAGCACGCTCCCGAAAAACCCCTTACTCCCTATGCTAGCACTTACCGGGAACAGCTTGTGGTGGCTCACATCACCAGACAATAGACCCAAGAGCACTGGCGTAAAAGGACCCTCAGCACAAAACCGCGCTGGAGGGGCCCCTGCCTTTGAGGGCCGGGCTAGATCTGGATGCGCCGTCTCGTTTGGTTGCGGGCGGTTTATTTTTCTTACTGTGCCATATTATTGGCTTCTATGACGTTTTGTAGTTTGATGACGGGGCAGAATGCAGGGCCAACATGGCAGAAAGGCACAAACAGACCGGCAGAGTAGAACGAGATAGCTAACTCACAATGGGACTGTAAGGCCTGGTGAGTCCAGGGGCAAATAAGGCTAGATGATATTACGATAAGCAGAGAAGTGAACGGAGGTAACAGATGAGCAGGCAGGTAGATAAACGGCCAGAGTGACGAACAAACCAAAGCAGGGTTCACCGGAACATCAACAAATAAAAGAGGCTAGTACGGCTCCTGAGATGAAACATGGAAATAAAGGGGGATAACACTGCATTATGTATCTCAGAGGGACACCTGAATTGCTGAAGAAGAGTTTGTGCTGCCCGTGTGGGCCTTTTGCTACGCAGCTCTTCTGAACTAGAAGTAGCCTCATTTGCTTTGTTCAGAAACTGCGTCATAGTATACAGGGGTTCATTCAGTTTTGAGGGCGTGCGCTTTTGGAATCCGTGTCATAGTATACATAGGTTCATTCAGTATTGACGAGGTTGTGCGCTTCAACATAGAGTAATAAAAGTCAGAGTACGCTGAGTCCGCGTGGGCGGCGTGGGCGGACTCAGCGTACTCTGATTTTTATTACTCTATGGCGAATCGCATAACGTCTTCAACACTGAATTAGCATAGTACGAGAATTTGAGAGCTTCCCCTTGACACTGAATGAACCTCTGCTTACTGTGAGCGGGTCCCTAAACACAGCAACTGAGGCTGTTTCTTAATCTTAAAGTCTGGGTGAGCTGTGCTAATGAGAGAATCGCGGCTGAAATCCATTGTACAAGCGAGGGGCATAATGCACAGGCAATGGGCCTCCGAGAGCAGTTGAAGTGACCTTAGTCCCTTACACGTTCCCCAGGGGCTCTACGTATTACTTGATTAGAGCAAAATCATGAAAACGTCAAATAAAAACTGAATGCGAAGCCGATAACTTATTCTTGTACCGCAGTATGACGTGTCCGAACAGTTCGCCTCCACATGGGGCCCCGTGAGGCTAACGGGAGCTTCCCTCCATACGGTTCTCTGTATCCCTAGAGGCAAATCAATTCAAGCTTAGTGACAGGGCTAAAGTAAAATAATTGGATATGAAGATAAGGACATCAAGCAGTTGCTGTGGCAGGTAGTAAGACCCGAATGAGCACCTGGCATTCTCTGGGTTTTGCCAAGACAGAGTTGGTTGCAGCCCTCCATTATTGCCGTTTAGATCCCCACCTGACCGTTTTCTCCTCTACTTTATTTTTATTGGGCCGCGGCAGCTCGCTTTGCACAGGGCTTCCCCAAAGTCACTGGACACTGACGCAGCAGCAACAAGCTGCTGCCCCGTCAGCAGCAACGAATGCAACGACAGCGACGGCAGCCGGAGCAGCTAAAATAGCAGTAGCCGGGGCCACAGTTGCAGCGGCAACAACAGCGGCAACAACACGAGCGGCGGCGGTTGTAACAGTTGCAGCACCAGCGCAAGTTGCGGCACCGGCAGTAGCTGCGGCATTAGTGACGGTTGGAGCTCCAACAGCCAAAAGGAGGCAGCTCCATCATTTGTCACACCCGTCTTATGTTGCTTGTAGAGGGCTGCCGGCCGCTGCTGCGGAATTGGCCCTCCTTCCCCGCAGCAGTTGCTGGAGGATGCAACGAGCGGAACATTCTTGTGTTGGGTGCCAGCAGTTCCCCCCGTGCTGTGGTATGCACTTCAGCAACGATTGCAGCAGCAGTTTCGATCTTAAAAGCGAAGGAAGCCGCAAGGCAGAGGCTACGTAAGCCACGGAATGATGGGATTCAAGACGTAGGTTCAGACTTTCACCGCCAAGTGGAATGCTACTGCAGTGCCGGCTGTGAAAAAAATAGCCGCAGCAGGATCGGAAGAAGGAGCTTTGATAGGGGCTATAACTGGAGTCTTTCTAGCAGCAATTGCAGGACTGGCATCAGCAGCCATCACTCCCTCAGCCACAGGCGCAGTAGCAACAGCAACGGCATCGGCGGCGGTGGGAGCGAAGGCGGGAGCACCTCCGACTCAACGACGTCCGGTAGTCTATGTAGGAGGGAAGGCGCGTGGTGGTTTTCGGCATGCTCCGTGCGTGGGCTCTTTGTGGTCGGTGCGCGTTGCTCCGTCTCCAGGGCCTACAGCAGTAGCAGCAGCAGCAGCGCCAGTGCAACCACAACCACCGGTGTTGGGTCTCACTACGAAACCCTAGGGGTAAAGCCAAATGCAACTCAGGCGGAAATTCGACAGGCAAGAAGAGACACCAAAGCGTCGAAGGCTGAGAGACAAGAATTTGATAGACAACCACGCAGAGAAGCAGACAAGCAGATACACATGAATGCAGCATAATGGCAAGGCAGATAAACGAAGAGTAACCAGGGCAGAAAAACACGAATCTCTCAATAAATTGGCGTGCGACTAGAGGCAGACGGATAGACAAAGAAAACAGAGAGCTCGTCAAACGAGATCGCGCTGCTGTGCAGGACAGTGTCTCAGTGTCACTTCCATACGCTGTTTCTTTCCGTGCTTGTGTATGCGTTGGTTTGCTACTTAACGCATTTTCCGTATTTTGTGGTTTTTAACTTTCAGGCCTATGTGGCACTGGCCCTCAAATTACATCCAGACAGGAACAGAGACGACCCTAATGTTAGATAGCCACGGCTTATCTGCTGACGCTGCTCCTGCCGATTCTCCTGCTTTTGTTTCTTTCCATGTGCCGTTTGTTGCCTTTTGTTATTGCTGTTGGCGCTCCTGCTGGTGCTGCCGCTGATGCTGTTGTTGTTGGCTCGCAACAACTGTTCCCGTAAAGTAATGGAACAGCACTCACTGTTGCCGTTTCAGTGTTTCCTCTATTTGTAATTACTGTCTTCTTCTTTTGGGTATCAAACAATGCCACGCGTTTAGCCTTGCCGCGCTGCTCGTTTGCCTCTCTTCACCGTCGTCACTGCCTGTGTCTATTTGGGTTTTATAGTGTGTATGGCTGTTTCTGGTCTTGCATTTATTTTTTACCTTGCTGCCTTCCGAGCTTTGGTTAATCCTTGTAGTTCTCTCATTGTTGACTTTCCTCGATGTGCCTGTTGCTTTTCGTCCGTGCGTGTATATTTATCGCGTTCATCCCCTTTTTCCTGCCATCTTTGAGCTTCGATTTCTTTCTAGCGTCTGTTTGGGTCTTTGTTAAGTAAGGATCACCTCTTCTTGTGTATATGTGTGCGTGTGTCTGTGCATCGTACGTACGTATTTCTTTCTCTCCCTTCTTCCCTTTTTTGTTTTGTGTGTTTACTTTTTCGCCACCTGTGCTGGCCGCTTAAACCCAGTGGCCTACGGTTTGAGCTGCTTGTGTTCAGGCAGCAATGCGCTTCAATGAGATAAGAGCGGCTTATGATGTTCTCTCCCAGCCGTTTACCCGTAGCCATTACGACAGGCAATGTGAAGGGTAAAACTAGGCCTCCTCTTTCCTCCTATTCATTGCAGCATTTATCGCAGCATTGAATGTTATAAATGAAAATTTTAGAAATGTATTTGCCTACCACAGTGGTGCTTCTACGAGGAGGTAGTCGCCACATAGCGACATTGAGGGACGGGGCAAGACTTGCTGTCTACTTTGCACATCTGCTCATGTACGATAGCACTGCAACGTGAAATGCGCTGCAGCACCAGAGGTGTAGGGGCTATGGGTGAAGCAGTCTGGGAAGAAGAGACGGAGGAGCAGCGAAGTGAGTTGCTTGCCTGGGTTGTTAGGAAGCGAGGTCTCTAGTTGGTGTCGCCGCAAGAGGTGTCTAGAAGTATGTTTGGATCCGCTTGTGTGTGGCGTTTTCTCGGTAACATTTTGACACAGCTTACCGACTGTTCCTTCGTTTCATTGCATTGCCGGTTTGGGCTTGTTGTTTTGATTTCTTTTGCTCTTCACTTGTATCTCTGTCCTGCTGCAGCGCTTAGGAGGGAAAGATACCAAAGATACGCAGCAGAACAACGCAATGACGTTCCCGTGGACGATACCCCAGGAGTCGTGCGTTAAGACTTATCTTGTAGTTAAGCACCGCTAGGACCTTGTTGTTGTTGCTTGCCCTATTCCGTCGTGCATTAATATGCCTTAGAGGTAGTTCTGGGTGTTAGAACGCGGAGAAGACTATTCCTCTCCTGTCAAATTTCTGTGTTCCACCTGTTTTCTGTCCCCGTTTTCATGTCTGTCTGTGTCCGATCTTCGACCTGGTTTCCCTTCATCAACTGGCCTGTCCTTTCTGTATTTGCGTCTGCTCTTGTCAGCTATTGTGACCTCCTTACTCTTGTTGGCCTTTTTCTTCGTCCCTGTCTTCTGCTTGTCGCTGCCTGCTTGTTCTCTTGGCTCTGTTTGTTAGTTTGTCTGCAAAGGAGCCCAAATCCTAACCGAATCTAACTATGGCCGATTTTCACGGCTAACTCTCAGGAGACAGCGTCCAAGTGCAGTATTTGGGATTTTCTCTCTTTCAGGCGCCCGTCATCTTATGCGCCTTCCTCACGATTGCCTACTTCTCAGTGGCGTACCCCAAGGCGCGTGAGGCTGAGGAGTGTTATGGGTAAGAGAGATCGCCAGCACAAACCCTAAACCTTCGCCATGAACCGTTAGCCCCAATCCCAGTGTCCCTAGCCACTGCCCTTGGACAAGTATACTTCGGTTCCCCCAGCTGTTAAGTATATGCACCCATCAAGCTTTGGCTGTGGGCTCGCGCAGACGCGCTGTCACTCCCCGTAAAAATTTGAACAATTGCCCTACTCCCTATTGAGTTCTTTGTCCTTGCTTTAGGGTTCACGACAGGGTCACCGCGCAAGATACGCGGGGAGACACCTTAGTTAGGGCCTTCTACAACCCTCTTAGCTGCCAGTGGGAACGGATACCCAAAGGGCTGGAGGCTCCCCTGCCGTCCGCCTTGCACACGGTAACAATCAGCGCTAAAAAATTGAGTATTCACCTTGATGAGTTTAGGCCCCCTTTCAGTGCTGTCTCCTTTCTTTGTTCGCATGTTTTGTTGTGTTATTTGTACATATGGATGTATGCGTCTTCGTTGCCACTTTTTCCTGGCGGAGTGTGCCTGGCCTTAACCGGGTCGGTATCCATCTCGTTGTTCCCATTTGTGTTTGTGGCTTCGACTCAGTGTTTCGATTCTGCCACCGTATTTTCCCCCGTTTGCATACTTCTGCCGGGTTCAGCGTCTCTTCTGGTGCCCTTTCCAGCCAGTCCTGTTTTCTCCTTGTTCACCCCGTTACTGTCGCTGTTTCCGTTTCGTTCTTCGTTTTTTCAACTCCTTGCCCCTTTCTGTATCCCTGTACATTTCCGGCTTTTCTCTGTGAGAACGGCAATGCAGATGTATGCCGTACGCCACCCTTCACTTCACCTCGAAAAGTCCCACATGCCCAAGCAGTTGGCGGTGTCGCAGGTCTGTTTGTTTGCCTCTAGCAGTCGCTGCCGCTGCGGAAGCGTGAAAAACTTCTGAGCACTGCATGCAGCAACTGCAGCAGCAGCATGGACTGCGTGTCTGTGACTCGTGCTCATGCAGATGCCGCAGTCTCAGACGGAACCTTCACGTCTTGCTCGAGACCCTATAACTGGAGAGCATGTTTGGACTGACGAGCTTTTGAAGCACAGCACCGGAAGCTGCAGTAGTCCAAGCAGCAGAAAGGGCGGCAACAGCAGCAACAGCAGCGGCGGTAGCCCAAACGAAGCTCTACCCTCGACAGCAATTCAAGGGCAGCCCAAAGGGGCCGCAGCACTCTGTAGTTGAAAGCCAGCCAAAAGCCCTCAATGGTTTGAGTGCAGCTCCGCTGCAATGGCAGGGACGCTGCTGCAGCAATAGCTTGCTGCATGGGGCGTGGTGTACTCGCACTGGGTTGAACTGCACGAACTATGATCATTCTTTGCCAATAGCTGCACGCCTCCCCAGGACGTGGGTATGCCGGCTTCCAGTGTTGCTGCAATTGGCGCGATTGCAGTTCTTGTCTTCGTTACTGTTGGCAATTTCCGTGCAGCATCAGTTCCCGGAGCTCTGTACGGTTGTGGGGTGCTACCTGTAGTGTGTCTTTAGGAGGCTGCGTGCGCAGCCAGTCGTCGCCATAAGGCACCTTGCTGAACTTCAGCAGATCCAGAAGCTGTGGATCACTAGTCACTAGCGAAGCATTGCCCACGCGATTACAAAATACATAGTTAATCTCCCCGCGACGAGAAAAGCGTAGGTTGGCTACCTGCCCCTTTTGCCCTGGCTGCTGGTCCCGCTGAGACAGCCGCCGTTGAAGCGGAAGCTGAAGGCACAATTGCAGAGCAGAGCTAACAGAACAGCCAAGGAGAGCAGCGAGACGCTGCAGGGACACGCTGTGCCCCCCTAAAGGTGCTGCAGCAACCACGGCGGCGATAGCACTAGCCCGAAGCGCATCCAGGTGCCTGTATACTGCAGCCTGTAGCAGAAAGGGAAGCCGGGCCGATGTGCGCAGTACCCTGCATATATTCCCAAGCGATGCTGCGGCAGCCACAGAAGCAGCATGAGATGCAAGAGAAGCAAAATTTAGACATCGCTGGATGCCTTACTCCAGAAGCGTCTTCGGCACTGCAAATACGGGGGCAGACGCTTCCTGCATCGCAGGGCAAAGGGCTAAGCAAGCGCGCTGCCCTGGCACTAAGTACGCAAGGAACGAAAAAGTGGCGTACGAGAGATTGGTTTTGCACAACAATTGTCAGGCAGACGAACAGAAACATACGGGGAGCAATGCAAGTCACAGAAACATACAGACAACCTGAACACGCAGCAGACGGCAGCAAGATGCGAGCACGAGACGGAAAGAGAGAGAAAAACATAAGGCGGCGATGAGAAGGATCACCACTAGGCCGCATGCAGCCAGTGACGCAGTCAAGAGAGTCGGTCATGCGGAGCTTCAGACTCGTCTTGCCACCCACACGCACACCAGCAGCTACTTAGAAACTGAAGCGACCGAATTGCGGGAAAGCGCCCACCTTCGGAGATGAGTCGAAGGGCTAAGCGGCAGAGGCGCAGTTGCTTCCATCCATCTTTGCCCACAAGGAGCATCAACCGCTGAAGCAGAAACACCTGCTGCTGCTGCTGTTGTTGCAGTGGGGGCAGAAGCAGCTCATAAAGCATCAGGGCAGCGAAAAGTTCATCTAAGCTTGCAGCGTCCATCTGCAGCGCCTGCAATAGTGCAGCAAAGTGCTGCCGTTGTGCTACTGGCTGCTGAATCTGCTTTCCTGTCACTGCGCTGGCCACTTGTTGCAGCTGCTGCAGCATCGAAGAGAAAGTTCCGCTAAGGAGTAGGCGGTTCAGGCTTGCGGGGAAGGAAGCAGCCCTTTGCGCGGTCTCTGCCTCATTTTGTTGTCTGCTGCAGACGCTGGCTATTTCTACAGTGCTCCTGCACACAGCTGGCGTTGCATACAGTTGCTGCAGCTTCTGCAGGGCTGGCTTCCCACAAGTGAAGCAACTGCTGCAGCAACTGCAGCTGTATCCGTCCTTTGCTTCTGTGTGGTAGAGACGCCCTCCCCAGAACACCTCCGCGAACAACATAAAGCGGATACTGCGGAATAACTGGGACACTACTAGTGCAGGCGTCAAATTCTGCTGCTGCTGGTTCTGCTTCGTATGCTCGCACCGCTGCATGTGCAGTAGCAGACCCTGCCGCTGCGCTCTCAGTCTGTCTGCAATGAAAACGAATCCCTTACGCTGCTGGCGCAACAGGACAGTGCACTCACAGGCGCTTGTATTGCTGTTGTGGCTGCTGCTTTTGTTACTGCTTCTGAGAAAAGAACAACAGGGCTCTGCATCGGACACACAAAAAGGGAAGACAAGGGAGGTCAATAAATTGCCCAGGAGGTACCCGCTTAACTCCGTGAGAGCCTCTATGGGCAAGAGTTCACGAAGAACGAGAGATCCCTTCTTCCCATGACTGCTGCCGGTGCAGTAACCGCAGCGGACAAACTGCTGCACGAGACAGCGCCGGGGAGGGGCTTCGAGAGGGCTGGGCTGAATTGCACGTCGGAATGAGGATTCAGAGGGACCGCAGAAATAGTGGCGTGCAGGAAACCGGCAGCTGCCGCAACTGCAACTAGTAGCGGAAGCAACAGTATCAGAAACACCTGTTGCTTGTTCTCTTGCCGCTGTTGTCTCTGGCTCCGTAGCTGCTCCCGTTGGAGCTGCAGACTGATCTCTTCTGCGATGTTCATCCCCCATGGATGTTTCTTCTGTTGTTATTGACATCACTGCTTCTGTGGGAAATCCACTGCGAAACAATATGAAGAGTAGTTCAGGTAATGGTAATACCGTAAGCTACAATGGTCGCCAGAGGTGACCCTGAGCGGGTGACCAAGCGCAGCAGCAATCATGCAGGCACTTTAAGGCCATTCGATGTAGGAGCTGCATTTTCAGGTGTCATCTGCTCAACAGGTGAGGCCGTTCTGCGCTGCCTTCTACAGAGGCAACAACAACATGCCGCTGCTGATTCCTCCGTAAGACAATTCCCTTGGCCGTGGGCTTCCAGCTCAAAGCTTGTGTTATGTGTGTTTGCTTCATTTATCTCGAAAAGAGAAATAAAAGCAACGAAATAACGATGAAGTGTCGCTGTCTGGGGGTGGTGTTGGTGCTGTTGCCGTTGCGCAGCTGCATCGCATGCAGGACGAGGCCCTGTGTACTTCTGGCTGCTAGACACAAGAATGACGATTCATGGCTATTGTGGGCGCACAGTCACCCTGAAGTAATTCCTGTTTATAAGGGAGCAGCAGCACGAACCTCTCAACAAGCAGCTTGGGCGAGGGGAACTGAGTATGCTGCTGCTACTGCGGTTGCTACTTCATGCTTTCATCTGGCTGCAGTGCCTGGATAGCTGCTACATGCATCCCCATTCTCTGTTTATTTCTTGGTGTAGAATCACCTTCTGTTAACAAGGGCTTGACGAGATTGGCTTGACGAAATAGTGCTACAGGAAATGCCACTGCAGCCTCACCTATTCCCTGATGCGAACAACGTTAGCTGCAAGTGTATGCAGCAACCGCCGCTTCAGCAGTATCAGCCCTGGCAACGTTAGTAGCCAGAGCAGCAATCACAGCAGCTGCAGCAAAGGCCTATGGAAAATGCTGGAGGGAAAAGCATGAAGAGAGCAAAGGTCGCAACGGCAGGTGACAGATGGCGCAAGAGGTCCTTCCTTGGGCCGGTGCTTCTGCTTCTTCTTGATGCTGCTGTCGTGCTGCTGTTGCTCGCCGCCGTCTTTGCTGACCCTTTTCCTCCCGAAAAAGAAGCAGCAGGCGAAATCGAATGCCTATATAGCTGTCTATTCCCCACCACTGCATCGGCTCCTGAACCCCAGAAGCAGCAGCTGCAGCTTTCGCCGCAGCAAGAAAATGCAACAGCTGAATCAGTTAGCTCTGCAGACAATGGAGGAAGGCCTAGGACTACGCGGTGCAGCAGCAAGAGTTGCAATCGTCTCCGTTTGCCTGCTGCGGCAGCTGCTGCAGCTACGGTGGAGTTACTTCGGGGCAGCAGCGGGGCAGCAGTGACCGCAACAGCGCGCATCAGTCAGCTGTGTCGGGTAGTCAGGGACATGGTAGCAGCAGGAGCATCAGCAGCAGCTGCAGCGGTCAGCCGAGGCAAGGCAACCGCCAGCTCACTGCTGCAGGATGGTCTGCTGCAGCACCTCCTTGTGCTGCCGAGGGGACCCCCCCTGCTCATGCCTAAGGGCTTGCTGCTGTTGCCTTCACTTCCACCTTTTTTGTTGCCGCCTCCGCACAGCCGCCTGAGGCGTATCTTCGACTTTCTCCCGGGCCTATTGTTGCGAGTCTCTTTCTTGCCTCCTGCTCCCCGCCCTCGTCCCAGCAACAACGGCAGCAGCGGTGAAAGCAGCAACAGCAGGAAGAGAGTCCGATATGTGGCTCAAATTCCAATGGGTCTTAGCTATCTGTTTCTCACTAGGTGTGTCCTTCTGTTGATCATCGGTGCTTCTTACGTAGCCCTTAGGCGTTCGTGTGCTTCAGCCGCTGCAGCTGCTGCGCAGGCCCAGGAAGCAGTAGCAGAGGCAAATGTAAGGGCTCGTTCTATTAAGTATCGCCGTCAAAATAAAAGGCGTGAGCGTGAAGGCAGCAGCAACAGCATGGAAAGTGACAGTAGCATTGTCAACCGGTGCAGCAGAGGCAACAGCGGTAGCAGCAGCAAGATGGCCGGATGCGACAGTTTACGTTGTCGGATGGAACGGGAGCTCCGCAGAGCAGATAAAAGGAGACGCCGGCACAGAACTGCTGTTGCTCGGGACTGGCGCCAGTCTATATTCAGTTGTCTTTTTTCGTGCTGTTTTGCAGCTTCTGCAGTGAGCTTGGCGCCGCTCTTGCTGCACGCATCTGTTTCTCCCTCAAATGTTCTTGTTGCTGCTGCTGTTGCTGCTGCGTGTGCTTTCCACGCATCGGCCTTAAAGTGCCTGTATCGCAGCAGAGTTACTGCTGCGCAACAGCTAATTAGCAGCAGCAGCAGAAACAACGCCGCGTGCAGTTCGGAAGAAAGCTGCACAAGCAGCTGCAGCAGCAACAGGCCTGCAGACCAAAGGTCTGAGAGCCCATGCAACCACAATAACGACGGCAGCAGTAGCTGCAAAACCAGGAGTGCTGCGCTCCTTCATTTCAGGGGAGATGAGGCTGCTGCACCAATCGGAAATGGCAACATGCGTCCCATCAGCAACAGCAGAGAAGAATGCGAGAGCAGCAGCAGCTGCAGCAACTGTAGCAGCTGCGTAGTTGAGGAGCGCGACGGCTCATTGCTGCAATGTAAAAGCAGAGGCAGCAGCAAGGACAGCAAAGGCTGCGAACAGCTCAGCGCCTGTGCCTGTTCGGAGGCCCTACCTTCGAAATCTAGCAGCAGCAGCAGCAGCAGCAGCAAGAGCAACTGCAACAGCGGCAGATCCAGCAAGCTCCCTGTTCGCAGTGACGGGGGCAAAGGCAACAACACCAGCGGCGCTAATATGTCTTTCCCTTACTACATGCGCGCAGTTGGATGCATGCTGTGTGGAGGTGCAGCGGCTGCTGCTGGAGATGCCTCCTTGATTTTCGCGTTTGTACCATTGCTGCTGCACCTCGCGTTTCGCTTGCCGGTTAATGAGTCCAGGATTGTTGGGGCCACAAGGTGCAGTGACAGCAGCACCAGCAGCTGTGACGGCAGCTGTAGCCGCAGTGCTTGCCTGAAGAAGAGGTTGGGCCGAGTCTCACGGCTCCTGTTGCTGCTGTTTGTCGCTGCTGCCACAGGTGTGTTGCTTGGCGCTGCAGGAGCTGCAGCTTTGGAGACATTAGCTGTGAATGAGACGCTACCATGTCAACAGTTGATGGTGTACGTGTACTGCTCGTTAATGCAGCGCCTGCAGCATGCCAAGGCTTCGCTACTGTTGTCAGCAGAACGAGCGTTGCAGCAGTTGTTACTTTCTCACCAGTGGATGGACACCTCAGCAGTTGCTGCACAAAGCAGCAGCAGCAGCTTTGGCTGGCACAAGGCAACGCGGCTGCTGCTGTGGCAGCGAGAGGCAGAGGGTTCCCCGTCTACGGGACGCATCAGCCTCCATCAGTATGTGTTGCAGCTGCCAGGAGGCATGCTTTTTACTACCTTTGGGCTGCTATCCCTTCTGCCGTTACTGCTTTTGCCGTTACAGCTGGTGGCTAAGTTGTTGCGTCTTGGCGGGACTCTGGTACCAAAACATGCATCAGTCCGCTGGAGCGTACCCCGTTTCTGCTGGAAGAGGCGGAATAGCGCGCTACAACTTTCTGATCACGCAATAAGCAAGAAGAGCAACAGTTGCAGCGGCAGCAGCAGCAACAACCGCGAAACAAACATACCAAAAAATACGGGCGCACAGGGCAGCTGCTTTCTCCCTAACGAACATTCGATGTCGGGAGATTCTGGCATCACTTTGAAGTCTCAAAGGGCAAGTAGCAGTGGCACTGACCGTAGCGTGAACACCAGCAGCAGCAACAACCATTGCGAGAAGAGCAGCAGTAATGACAGCATCAGGAGCGAGCAAGGAGACGGAGGCAGCGATGCCTTCATCCCCTGGTTTATTTGCTGTGATTTCGGCTTCCCGTGGCTTGCAGGAGCCTTCTGCCTGCTATTGACAATGCAGCAGCAAGGCCAAGTAAGTCTACAACAGCAACAACAGGAAAAGAAGGACGCGCTGGTGCCGCTTCTGTTGCCTTTCTGCACTGTAGTGGCGGCCTGTGGAGCAGCTGCAGGGGCAGCACTGCTGCAACAAATCTTCCCAACAGAGGTGTCGAGCACAGAGTTAGCCACGTTTGGTGCTGCTGCTGCTGTGGGCCGTCGCAGCTCTGCATTTGCAGCAACAGAAAGTGACGCCTTTTTTGACGACGTATCTCCGGCCATGCGTGATGTGCTTGAGCAAAGTAAGCTTGGGGACTACCCTTGCTGTGGCAGCAAGAGCGGTCACAACAGTAGCAAAGGCAATAATTACTCTGACGTTGCTGCACGTAAAGCAGGCGGATGTGCTGCAAAGGCGATTGGCTTTGTGCGTGCTGATGCCGCGAGCAGTAGCCATAACGGCAGTGCAAGCAGCAGCAGTAGCGGCTGCTGCGAAATGGGGGCGCTGCAACTGCTGCATGCGGTATCAGCACGCCTACCGCCACAGGCCGCGTCAGCCGCAAGGCAGTTACGTCGCGCCTCTTTTGCATGCATCGAAGCGACACTGAAGAGAAGTCCGACTTTGCTGCAATTGCGGCGAATGGCCTTGTGGCAGAAGAAGTTGGCGCGGCGGTTGCTGACACCGCGCGGAGCAGCAGCTGGAGCTGCAGCAGTTGGACTGCTACTGTTGTTTGCTGCTGCCGACGTGATCGCCCTAGCCAGGCTTGCAGTTGCAGCATATCTTTCTCCGGGGGGGCACGCTCTGCATGCGCTAGAGCGACTGTTGCTGTTGCACAAGAAAGAGATGCAGGCGCATACCGACGTAGTACCAACAATAGCAGCAGTTGCAGCAGCAGGGGTTGCTGGTGGGGGTCCCGTCAGGAGCATAACGGTGCCAACAATTTTTCGACAGCTCTATGATTCAGCATTGTATCCAGATGTAGGGGAGGCGCTTCCTACTGCTGCTTCTGTGATATACAGTCCGTGGATTGCTGCAGGGGCAGCAGCGCCTGGCTCTGCAGCAGCGGCGGCAGCAGCAAGCGCTGCTGCAGCAGTCCCCATTGGTACTTTGGAGG